GTTCATTTTAGATTGGAAAGTTAAACAATAAAGACTAGTTTGCAGTCAAAAAATCGTTTGTATGTTAGAACCTATTTGCCTTTTGAAAAAAAAAACGTGTTTTTGATAATGTGAATGTTTATAATGATAATGCAATTATATAATTCATGCTTTGAGACGGTCCCTGTACGCATTGTGTGTGTAGTATACAGTATGCTGTTGTACATTGTGACAATAAACCTGGGAATAGTTTATTGATATATAATGTTCAAGAATAAACTGATTATTTCTGAACGTTTTTCATTTGATATTTTGTATTTCAATCATAGCATTGGAAAATGTCGGAAGGCATGGAGAAAATTAAGAAAGCGATATTTATCTTTGTTCGGAAACACAGTGGTCGGAAAGCAGAAAGATAATCAAACAAAAGGATTTTTCTGTCAAAAATGTCTAATTTCATTAATAAATACTACCAGACTAAGAGAATATTCATTATTAAGTTTAAACTGATCGAGACTGAATTTATTCTTAATAGAATATAATTAAAATTGTCATATATACGTGCATTATGTCACTAGTTTGAACAGTCATTACATCTATGAAAGTTATATGCAACCAAGGAATTGTATATTTAAGTATACAATTCCTTGATGCAACGTATGAGCACCAATGACCAGGGATGCGTATCCAAAGTTAGCTAAATATCTAAATTTTAAACGGTCGTGATTGTAACTTTTTTTATTCGAGCGTCACTGATGATTCTTTGTAGAATTAACTCGCGTCTGGAGTACAACATTTTAATCCTGGTATCTTTTTATATCTACATAACTTTTTATATAGATTGGTTCTTTTCAGAGTATGTTCAGGTATTCATAAAACTTCTGAAAATAAGATATTCTTCAAAACCAAGTTTTCCTGGTGAATATTTGGAGTGAATGAAAATATACTTGCATGGTTTCTATTCACAAGGATTTGAAGTCCTTGCATCTCACAAAAAACGTAGTTAATATTTTACAATAATAATAACAAAATTTAATTACTATGTTAATTATTTTATACTTTTTAGTATGATTTATTAGTCTCTGCTTACATTTTGTATAGCAATATATTCATATAGTGGAATGTTAGACTTTAAAAAGAGATTGATTTGATAAATAAAATGTCCATCCGTAAATACTTGACGTTTGTTTTTATTGATATTATATTCTAAATTTACGGAAAAAATCACTAACAGGAATGTATGTTTATTATAAAATTTCAATTCTTTTTGTTTTTGTTTGTTTTAATAGTTCAACCTTATAGCATCTAAATATTTATACTATGGTACGATTTTGGAAATTGTATTCATTGTGTTGACCAGCTATCATTCACATCATATATCATCCTGTTCACACGCACACTTTCGGTTTGCGTTCACAAAAAATCCGGATAAAATGTCAATGAATCCGGAGTCAAAACACTTGAGGTAGGTAGTTTGACATCAGAATTCAACTATTAGATTAATATATATATGCGATGACGCAAATGCGTATTCCTATCCAGAGCATCAGTGCGTATGCTTTCTATTTACTATTTCTTGCGCAAAAATACCACGTGCCTGCATAAATATTTATTTTATTCGTGAATGCTAATTTTCGCATTTCTTATCTAAATTCAGGACACGGCAGTAAGAGCTTGACGTGTGACTTTCAAACACGGTCATCATTGTTTACGGTATTCTGACCTCTAGGTGTTTCTCTATTGTTTTCTTTTTTTTTGAATCACTGTCCTATTATAAACTTTGACATTTTCGAAATGCTAAGGATTTCTACCCAAGGAATAGATTAATTAACTTCGTACTTTATTTGGCCTTTTTAACTTTTTTTATTCGAGCGTCACATGACTGATGATTCTTTGTAGACTCAGCTTAACTCGCGTCTGGCGTACATCATTTTAATCATGGTATCTTTTTATAACTTTTTATATAGATGGGTTCTTTTGAGAGTATGTTCAGGTATTCATAAAACTTCTGAAAATAAGATTTTCTTCAAAACCAAGTTTTTCTGTAGAATATTTGGATTGATTTATGTAAAATCAGGAAATCCTTAAAATTTGAGATGTTTTATGAGACCAAAATAAGTCTCTATATAAGAGGTCCCAATGAAGCTGATGTGTTACTCTCAAGAAAAATATACGTAACCTTCTTATATATAAGTTGCATGCCACAGGGTTTCACTTCTCATGGAAATTGGGACTTTAAATTTATCTATACAACATCTACCATGAGTACAGACAGCTTCAATAGCGAGTTGAGAATAATTGAAGGCATCCATGCAGGAAACAAAATATGAAGATATAATAGATAAAATAAATGCATCCAGATTATAAAGCAAACTGAGTGCTTAAATTTATATTGCAATTGGTTTGTGCAATTTGCATTAGACATCCGTTTGTAGAAACTGGGATTTGCAAAAGGGTTATGAAAAAGTTATGTACATTCCCAAGTAATAAATAAAAAAGTCGAGCTTTAAATTGTATATTCAAATAATAGCTGTATATATACACTTTTCTATTCACAACTATCCAACATTGCATGCTTTCAACTGAATTGTGCAAGAATCTACACACAATTACATATTTTAATAAAGGTGTTTTAACATCATCATTATCTTATTCTATTCACAGTCAATTATTTCAAATCAAAAGCAAACAAAAATTCAGCAACAATTTTTTGGTGACCAGTGTGGTCTTGGGTTCACGTACTGCTTTTCTTTTTGTAAAGAAAGCAACTTGTTTTATTGTTAGGATAGTAGGGATATACGTATTTTTTTTTTTAAATACGAAGACGATTAACGGGCTATATATATGACCTATAGTTAAGTTCCTGTGATTTAGTAAAAATTAAGACAGTCCGAGAGAAACATGACCTTTCGCAGTGCCAAAATTTAAGTACCGACATGATATAGGAGTAAAACATAAAATAAGGAGATGCGGTACGATTGTCAATGAGACAAAAATCCACAAGAGAACAAGGAATAAGTATGTAAGCAGCTTTATGGCACGTAATTGCCTTCTTCAATGCCTAAAACCTAGTATATACTATAGTAAGCTATATAGGCACCGGTATTACAAGATATAACAAAATGTGGAACAATCCAAAAGAGAAAACCAAAGGCTTGAATGATTTATGCCATAAACGAAAATAAGGTTAGTAATAACCAACGACAACCACTGAATTACAGAATCCTGACTTGGGACAGGCATATACGGTGACCTATAGTTGCTTACATCCACGTTACTTGCACTCAGATGGTTAGTTGTCTCATTGGCAATCATGCATAGCACAATGACATCTCGGTATTTTTACATAAAGAAGACGGCGGCGTTAACATGTTTATGAGCGCTCAACACTTCCCCCTTACCTGGGAAATTAGTGTAACAGCACAATAAAAGTACTAGCAGTAACTGAGTGCTGGTTCAAAACGAAATCCAACTTATAATAAAATAAAACATGTTTTCCCATTTATCATTTTTGTATGTATTAATTTATCAAATTAAAACAAATGTTAACCCCGATAAAGACAAGATCGCGAGCCTTCTTGTACTGTTTATGGCGATGCTACATGAAATCTTCTATGCACGGATATAAGGTTGTAATACTGCATGATTTCTAACATGCAGCAGGTAACTTACTTTGATGGCTTGCTTTCTGTAACTGCTAGCATGCGGTTTATTATTATTCATTATCAATTTTTTTACTTGATTTTGTGTTTTGTCATATCTTATATCGTCATTTTAGACTTTAGTACTTTCAAGCGGCAAGACAGAAATGACAGGAAATATCCATCAATTCCTTCTAAAATGCCAAAAGTTTGGATCAGACGTCTTCAAAGTATAATTAAGGAGTATGTACGTGTGTTATATTGGAGTTAATTGATGTGACTACCAAAAGAAACTGTGGTAGTTGTCACATAGCCACATAGGAAACAACATTTCACAATAATGAAGAAAAAAAAACATTTCATAATTGATGCGTCCGAAGCGCTTTCTTTGATTTACCTTCATCAACCGAGGGAAGGTCCAAAGCCAAATATTTGAAAGCCAATGATGTATATAGTGTAAGTACCGAAACGCGTGTAGAGCTATCTGACCGAAATGGACATAAAATGATAGTCAAACCCATCTAGAGTCAACTTTGCCTGATGGAGTTGAAACCTTTGTTTCTTAATTTATAAACGGACAATTTAAGAAAGGCATATACATTATGTAAAGCATGTGAACGCGGTTTCGAGGCATCGACTACTGAGCTGATGATACCCTCGATATGATTTACAACGAACAATTTAGTCACAATATCACATGTAGATTACAGAATTCTTCATATACAAAGTTTGGAGGATCCCTCCAAAGAATTGTGTCATCATCAGTGATTATATAATTAGTCGATTATAATATGTAAAAGCATTATCGATGCGGCCTAAGTCTATCACTATCTGGCCGCGTGAACGGTTATATGAGGTGATCAGCAAGAGATACGCATACTGAATACTGAAAGTCCCTGACAGTTGTAAAAAGTTTTAACCTCTTCAAGTAAAAGAAACGATGCTAGATTTTTTTTAAATATATTTCAGTAAAATATAGCTGAAATAGCGATTCAAGGGGGCGAAGCTTGTGAAAAAAAATAAAAAATAGTTTTGGCATAAAAAGTCTATATTTTACCTCGTCCCTGGCTCGGAGGCATGCTTGTGGTATTTTAAAATCTACTAACTTTTTTAAGATATTTTAAGACTGAAGTTTATTGAGCACTACTGAAGGACTAATTCAGAGGGGCTTTTACCGTGACAGCAGAAGTATAGACAAATAACCCGAAAAATACAGACTGTGATTAAAGCTTTATCCAGACACCTAGTCCTAAGGATCCCTTCAATAATTATACTGAATTATTAACGGCAAATATTTATACACACTTTTGAGGTTTTCCAAACACAGGATAAATTTATGACAAACGGAGGAAACGTTGCTCGTGTTATAATAATTACGACCCCACCGACATAATGTTTTTTAGTAGTGTCGTGTGCAAAAGAGTATTATTTTGCGACTTGGTAAAGACGTTGAGCGACGTGCGGAGAGAAGGAAGTCGGTGTTGGTTGGAGGAATAAGGGTTTTTGTGAGTAATTATTACATTGAATACTTTATAAATGCTCTTAACATCTTTATTCATAATTAAATTCCACTTATTAGGGTAGAAAATTGCTGGATTTATGATAAATTTGGAAACGAAAATGGTCATCATGTGTTATTATCTCGGACTGGCCATGCCGTATTTTTATGACAACTAGTTAATGACACGTTCTCGTTTCAAGTAGGACAACAATAAACACACATTTTATTTTACTCCTTAATGATTAATTTCTCAAAATGTGTGAAACAGCATATTGTCATTTGTAATGTACGTTCGGAACATGATTGACACCGTTTTCCTGTGTCATTTGGGTACGGCAAATTCCGAGAAGTTTCGAATAACTAAACCACGTGCGAACCATGTGCGTGGTGCTTTCGTAAAAGGGGGAGAAGTGTTTAATTAAAAAAATAAATATGTCGAATAGTTTACTGGACAATCTTTGTATTATTAATTTGTTGACTAGGATTGAGAGTAAAAAATATTCGAAAATATTGCTTCATAAGATATTTGAGACTCACTTGGAAGTCACAATATGTTTTTACATGGCATGTTCCAATATTTTTTTTTTTTGCAAATACATCACTCAGATAATTACTCCAGGGATTGCTACTTGATTGAGGAATAGTTCCCTCATTTGCTGGGTTGTTACCAACCTGATATAGAGAGATAACTCTTTTCATGGTGGAATAGACCCCCTTTTAAAAAAAAAAACAAGTTTTGTTTTAATTTTTTTAGGTAAATATTTTGTAATTTTTTAACTCAATTTCTTTTTGCTCTTTTCCATATTATATTGCAATAACAGAAAATTATAAATTTTGATCCACTTCAGGCACTTGTATAGACCATCTTATTGGTTTATTCTAATCCAGACAAATTTGGAAATTACTCAACTTTTTCATGTCAACACAAACCAGTTGAAGCTCACTGGGGTCCTGTTTAAACTATGTATTGTCAAAGTAACTCTTTTGTCCAGTTTGGGCTTAAAAGCCAGGAGTTGTATTATTTTCCTCATGGCAGGAAAGATTGAAAATTCATACATCACAATTTGCTCACCTCTGGCACATTTGATGCACATTATTAGTCCCCTACCAACTAAGTCGAAGGGGACTTTAGGTTTGCACTCCGTCCATCTGTCTGTCCATCCGTCAGTCCGGCAAATCAGTTTTCCACACTTTTCTTCATGCTTGAAGATATTGATTTGATAATTGGTATATAGTTTTATCATGACAAGTTACAGTTCAAGTTCGAATTTTGTTCCGGTCTCATGATTTTGTGCAGAGTTATGGTCATTGGACTTAGAAAATTCACTTAAATAATTAGTTTTCAACACTTTTTTTCGTCATGCTTGAAGATATTGACTTGATATTTGTTATATAGTTTACACCATGACAATTATAGATCAAGTTAGAATTTTGTTCCAATATAATGAATTTTTTACCGGTAGGGGACTATGTATTGCCATGCAAATCCAAATGCAAGGAATGAATCATAAAGTTCTAAAGGAAAAGTGTCCATTTATCAAGTTTTGCAGCTGAAAACAACTTAGTTACTTCTCTGGCATACCCATATTTCGATGTGCATTTTTTTCTGTCTGCAGAGGTGGAAAAATATACAAACTGAAACACCTTAGTTTCACTTAATATGGTCCACTCTGTTAAACAGTTTAAATCTATTGTTTGCAGGTATCATTTTCCTTCTTGTCCATGTCAAACTTAATATGGTCCACTCTATTAATCAGTTAAAATCTATTGTTTGCAGGTATCATTTTCCTTCTATTGTCCATGTCAAACAATACAGTTATAATATGAGTGGAGCTTCTCAAACACCTTTCCCAGACTACACGAATGAATTTTATTTTTACAGGACATTCGGTCTGGTAAACAACCTAGCTTTACCAGACCGAATGAAATTATACCAGACCATTTTTTTTTACATCTTATTGTATGTTATCCGACAAAATACAACAAACTTATGACTTCTTGTGGCCTACTCCTCTCTAAAATGCACAAAATCAAAATCATGTGACAAGAGTGTATATTTTGATGAAAGTTGTGCACAATTGCTTGAATCATTTCAGTGATAAAGAAAAGTAATGTCACATGACATGAAAATTATTTGTAAACTAAAAATAATTAAGAGTTTCTATATAAAATATTTCCTGTTTCTTCTTTCTTTTTCATATATCTTTTGATTTTCAATTCTAGTGTTTATATTTCATAGCTGTATTTTGTGACCTGCTTGGATTTTTTAAATTTATTTATTGTATTTGATCGGCAAACCCGGAATAAGCCTTATCCGTTCCCGGAATCTGATCCGGTATTGTCTACATTTCCGGTTGATGGCAGCCATTGTCTGTTGTTTTTGTCATTCAGATATGTTTTTACTCGGATTTACACATTACTTGTTGGCGATTTTCGGCATAAAGCTAGCGGTTGAACAAAATAAACATTGCTGTAATGAATAATAAAGATAAAAATGAATTTTGAGATCGTTTTGGAATTTTGTTAGAATGCTTGAAAAATCCATGAAAAAAAACAACACCGGACATTCGGGCTGGAATTCAACAAAATTTTGCCAGACCGATCCATTATTCACCGGATTTGTCCGACGGTCCGACAAATTTCCTGTAGTCTGCTTTCCCCCAAACTATTTAATTTTTTTTTTTTTCAGTATATTTATACAGAAACATGCAGTAAATGAGAAATGTGAAAATTGTACATTTGTATTGCAGGTTGGTGTTAGAATGAGTGATAAGTGTTATAAATGTAATAAGCCAGGCCATTTTGCCAGGGAATGTCCAGATGGTGATGGTGGTGGCAGAAGAGGTGGTGGTGGTTACCGTTCCGGAGGAGGCGGTCGTAGTGGAGGAGGAGGAGGTGGTGGAGGTAGGTTGTAAGAGACTTCAGACTTCTGGTTTTCTTGACCAGAAAGTTTCAGCATAATGATGTTCTCAAGTGGGTGCGGATTATGCATGCTTAGATTTTCCTCCATGAATAATGAATATGTGAACTACATTGTATAAGAATATAAAACAGTGATAGTGTAAGTGTACACAAGTCTGAATTTCATTGATATTACATATGGTCTATACAATGCATGCAGTAGCATTTTACAGTCCTATGAAGTAATATTTTTTATTAAAAAGTTTGCATTATAAAACTCTTAAAATACTTGTCCAGTATGTTGGCATTTTAAAAAAAAAATAGGTTTGTTTTTTTTTAACGATTTTTATTTGGTGAAGGGAATTTAAAAGAAAAATAGAATTTTTTTTTGGTAAACTTTTTATTGTTTATTAGGGCAGCAATGCTACAAGTGCAAACGTTATGGGCATTTTGCTCGAGAATGCAAGATGGAAGGTGATCGATGTTACAAATGCAATAAAGTAGGGCACATTGCCAAGGAATGCACAGAGGAACTAGAGGAAGGTGGGTGTTCTGTGTAGCTCAAAATTTGTATCCATGTCTCAATTCATATTCCATCTTGAATTCACTAACATTTTTTCATCAAATGTGTGTTTTCATTTTACATCAAAATTGTGCTGTACAAGTTTTCATTTTGTTATCCAATACAGAAGTTTTAATCCCAGATAGGTTAATCTATTGCAGGTATGTCAGGGGTTGAATATTTTTCAGCAGATGCCCAAGCCCCCCCCGACACCAATTGTACTTCTAATCACTGTGAATTTTTTATTTAATATTTGAAAAATATCAAGATCTGTAATACACTTTGTCAATTCAGTGCTGTTGTATAATCTATGAACATTTTTCTTTTCAATCCATATCTTTAACTGAGACAACTTCATTCATATTGTTTTTCAATGAGGGTGTGTCAGAAAGAGACAAAACACTGAAGGATGTACAGTTTGTATTTTATATCTGAACAATAAATGTCTAACAACTTTGTGTACACCGACATTTTGCTGCAAGTAGAAAATGATAGAAATGAAAACTATTGGGATGTGGGAAATAAATAATTATTCAAACAATTTTTTTCTTGATGGGCAAGCTAAACGTGCTATTTTCCTTAATTCGTTCGTTCCAAGTCCCAAATACTGAAAATATATGTCAGACTAAGTTCTGGTGTCAAGACAAACGTTTTTTTCAACCCCTGTATAATACATTCATCATTCATCTGTACTGTTGGTAATGGTGCCATTAAGAGTTCATCTTTACTTTCAGGCCAAAAAAAAATATATGTCTGTTTATGGTGACCAGACCAATCCTGCTTTCGAGCGCTGACTCCTAAGTCATTTTATTTCCATCTTAAAGTGAACAATTATTTGAACTACGTGTCAAAAGCAAAGTTGGAGTTGCCAATAAAAGAAATCAGTTGCCTGATATACATCCAATTGTTCACAATCGTGAATATGATAGCTGTTTTAAGGAAATTCAAGACTCGTGTGATGAAATAAACACTTTGCCACCATTTTTATACGACCGCAAAAAATCGTATATTGGTATGGCGTTGGCGTCGTCATCGTCGTCCGAAGACACATTGGTTTTCGCACTCTAACTTTAGTTTAAGTGAATGGATCTCTTTGAAATTTTACCATAAGGTTCAATACCACAAAAGGAAGGTGGGGATTGATTTTGGGGGTTATGGTTCCAACAGTTAAGGAATTAGGGGCCACAAAGGGGCAAAAAATGAGCATTTTCTAGTTTCCAGACAATAACTGTGGAACGGTGTATGGATCTCTCTGAAATTATACTACAAGTTTCCATACCACAAAGGGATGGTTAGGATTTGCTTTGGGGGGTTATGGCTCAAACCGTTTAGGAATTAGGGGCAAAAAAGAGGGAAAAACAAGGTTGTCCTGGTTAATGGACAAATACTTTAGTACAAAACATAATTTAAAGCAGTGTAAGGGAGATAAATCAAATACATCATTGAAATTATCTCCCTTACACTGCTTTTAAATTATGAATAAAGTAATGGTTAATGAACAATTTAGATAATTTAAAACAGTGTAAGGGAGGTAATCCAAATACAACGTTTTTGGTTACTTCCCTTACACTGCTTTTAAATTATGTTTAAAGAAATGCATATTTATAAAGGAAGACCAGTAAAAATATCTGCAAATGTTGCATCTTTTTTTTTTACAAAAAAATCCATATGAAAGATTTGACACTATATTTTAAATTCTATTATAAAATAGATTAAGTTAGCACTATGGTAAATTTAAATGGGTAGTTATGGTTGCAAACTCCATTGGAAATTTGATTGAGATTATGACCATATCTTGAGGGAAAGAAATTTTTTGGGGAAAAAGGGGGGGGGGGTAAAAAGAAATTGTGGGGGGTCAATTTTTTCTCATTTCAGATTTCAGAAATTAAAAAGAATTATTCTTCAAATATTTTTTTTTCAAATTTCAAATATTGAAAAATTTCAAGAAGTAATCTTTAATTGCACAGTATGGCGCATTAGATTTTTAAAATCTTTGACCACATTTATTTATTTGTTTTGCCGAATCTAACTGTGTATTTAGATTTTTAATTTTGGGTCCAGTTTTCAAATTGGTCTACATTAAGGTCCAAAGGGTCCAAAATTAAACTTTGTTTGATTTTAACAAAAATTGAATTTATGGGGTTCTTTGATATGCTGAATCTAAAAATGTATTTAGACTTTTGATTTTTGGCCCAGTTTTCAAGTTGGTCCAAATTGGGGTTCAAAATTAAACTTTGTTTTATTTCAACAAAAATTGAATATATTTGATATGCTGAATCTAACCATGTATTTTGATTTTGGACATTGGACCATAATAGGTAAATTAAAAAAATTAAAGTTCTTAAACCACATTCTTTCTGTGTCAGAAACCTATGCTGTGTCAAATATTTAATCACAATCAAAATTCAGAGCTGTATCAAGCTTGCAAGAAATTTTGGTGAATTGTTTATATCTATTGACATGAGCTCCCTTTGGATTTTTATAAATTTTAGTATTTACGTTTCCGAGTTATGGGGTTTTATTCATAAAAAAAGGGGGATTTTCCAGTTTTCGGACCATAACTCAAAAATGCTTTCAGCAGTTCTCATGAAACTTTGATGAATTGTTGATATCTATTGATGTAAGCTCCCTTTAGAATTTAATAAATTTTAGATTTTACATTTCCGAATTATGGGGTTTATTCATTAAAAAAGGGGGGATTTTCCAGTTTTCAGACAAAAACTCAAAAATGCTTTCAACAATTCGTATGAAACTTTGGTGAACTGTTTATATCTATTGATGTAAGCTCCCTTTAGAATTTTATAAATTTACTTGTTTATAGTCTGACAACAGATTTACTAAGTATTGCGCAACAGCACAGTGTATTGCGCAACAGCAAGAAATCTTTAATTGAATATAAATTCAATTCATATAACCAACTTCAAGTTCTTTGACTACATTTATTCAGAAACCTATAATAGATGTATGTCAAATATTTAATTACAATCCAAATTCAGACCTGTATCAAGCTTGAATATTGTGTCCATTTTTGCCCCAACTGTTCAGGGTTAAACCTCTGCGGGCGTATCCAGCTGCGCTCAGCGAAGCAGTTTTTTTTTAGTTTTTGCACTCTGCCTCGTGCAAATTAAAAAAAAAAAACGAATTCAGACACATTCTTCTTTTATTTTTATACGCCCGTTTACGGGACGTATTATGGTATATCAGTCTGTCCGTCTGTCCCTCTGTCCGTCCGTCGTCAACATGTCGGACATTAACTCAAAACCGCTTTAACCAATTTGCATAAAACTTTGGTGAATTGTTTATATCTATTGACGTGAGCTCCCTTTCGTTTTTTATAAATTTTAGATAATATGTTTCTGAGTTATGGGGTTTTATTCATTAAAAAAAGAGGGATTTTCCAGTTTTCGGACAATAACTCAAGAATGCTTTCACCAACTTGCAAGAAATTGTGGTGAATTGTTTATATCTATTGACATGAGCTCCCTTTCGATTTTTATATATTTTAGATTTTACGTTTCCGAGTTACAGGGTTTTATTCATAAAAAAAGGGGGATTTTCCAGTTTCGGACAAAAAATAAAAAATGCTTTCAGCAGTTCGTATGAAACTTTGGTGAATTGTTTATATCTATTGATGTAAGCTCGTCGTCAACATGTCGGACATTAACTCAAAAACGCTTTAACCAATTTGCATAAAACTTTGGTGAATTGTTTATATCTATTGACGTGAGCTCCCTTTCGTTTTTTATAAATTTTAGATAATACGTTTCTGAGTTATGGGGTTTTATTCATTAAAAAAAGAGGATTTTCCAGTTTTCGGACAATAACTCAAGAATGCTTTCACCAACTTGCAAGAAATTGTGGTGAATTGTTTATATCTATTGACATGAGCTGCCTTTCAATTTTTATATATTTTAGATTTTACGTTTCCGAGTTGCAGGGTTTTATTCATAAAAAAAGGGGGATTTTCCAGTTTCGGACAAAAAATAAAAAATGCTTTCAGCAGTTCGTATGAAACTTTGGTGAATTGTTTATATCTATTGATGTAAGCTCCATTTAGAATTTTATAAATTTTACATTTTACATTTCTGAGTTATGGGGTTTTATTCATTAAAAAAAGGGGGATTTTCCAGATTTCTGACAATAACTCAAAAATGCTGTCAGCAATTCTCATGAAACTTTTGTGAATTGTTTATATCTATTGATGTAAGCTCCCTTTACATTTTCATAAATTTCTAATATGACATTGAGAATTAATTGAACTTTATTTGTTTATAGTCTGACAACAGATTTACTAAGTATTGCGCAACAGCACAGTGTATTGCACAACAGCAAGAAATCTTTAATTGAATATAAATTCAATTCATATAACCAATTTCAAGTTCTTTGACTACATTTATTCAGTCTTCATGTCAGCATGATATACGGTGAAGTAGTTTCAGATTCATCACTACTGTTTTTAACCAATATTTATATATTATTCTAACGCATACTGGCCAAGTATGAAATTTTCGTAGTTTTCCCCAAGAAACTACAAAAAAACTCCCTGAAATTTGCTGTTTTTATTTTGACACAGGAACTTTAGATTTAACACCAAATGAAGCACCATTCTAGATTGAAAACTCTGTATATACATACTACTAATAGATCAGAAGTTTAAAAATGTACTCAAATTAATGTATTTTCAGGTGCCTGTTATAACTGTGGCAAATCTGGTCACATGAAGAGAGACTGCCCCGAGTCAATGAGAGGTGGAGGTGGTGGCGGCGGCGATGGCTGCTACAACTGTGGAAAATCAGGTCACTTGGCTAGAGATTGTCCAGAAGAACGTAGTAGCCGCGGGGGAGACCGGGGAATTGATGACCGTAAATGCTACAATTGTGGAAAAAGTGGTCACCTGTCGAGGGATTGTGATAGTAGTAGTAATAGACGTGGAGGTGGAGGTGGCAGTGATCGCGGTGGTCGTGATGGTGGGATGGACAATGTAGAATGTTACAAGTAAGTATATGGATATCTGTAAAAGCAAGTCAGCTACTCTTAAAAAAACTCTTCTTTGCCATTAAAACAAATGTTTTTTTTTTCGAACATAGATTTGATTCAGAAAAGATAGTTTATTTTCTTGTGAATATATTGAAGCAGGATTTCACATAGGCATTGCAAAATGAATGATATATGTTCAAATCTTAAATCCTTTTGATTAAACATTGAATATTGTATCAGACTATTTTTCTTTTAAATTGCACTATTTGTAATGCAAAAAAAAACATTAAATGTCTCCATAATTTTTAGATTTTTTGTTTAAGTTAAGTTGAGCATGCGCTTTATACCAGAGGTAGCTGGGTGTAAATCACAACTGGCTTTAAGGAAACTATAATTTGAGGGAAATTTTACCGATAACATATTTACTCCCAATATTTTTTGGTCTTGTTGATTTTTGAGCATAGATAGCTAATGGCAGTTTGTCTAACCAAATATGTGCACATTTTGGTGAAAGCAAAATTACTATTGATACATGTGTTCTTTAGCATGCCTCCAATTATTTTTATGGATCTAAAATACATAGTTATGCTTTTTATACGACCGCAAAAAAATTTTTGTGGTCGTATATTGGTATGACGTTGTCGTCGTCCGGCGTCGTCCGAAGACACATTGGTTTTCGCACTCTAACTTTAGTTTAAGTGAATGGATCTTTATGAAATTTTACCACAAGGTTCAATACCACAAAAGGAAGGTTGGGATTGATTTTGGGGGTTATGGTAATAACAGTAAAGGAATTAGGGGCCAAAAAGGGGCCAAAAATAAGCATTTTTGTAACTTCCAGACATAACTTGTGTGTTAGTGTATGGATCTCTCTGACATTGTACCACAAGGTTCCATATCACTAAAGGAATGCTGGGATTGATTTTGGGGGTAATTGCCTCCAAATTTTAGGAATTGGGGCCAAAAAAGGGGCAAAAAACAAGCATTTTTCTAGTTTCATGACAATAACTTGTGTGTAAGTGTATGGATCTTTCTGAAATTGTACTACAAGGTTCCATATCACAAAGGGAAAGCTGGGTTTGAGTTTGGGGGTAATTGCCCTAAACGTTTAGGAATTTGGGGCCAAAAAGGGGCCAAAAAACACATTTTTTTCTAGTTTCCAGACAATAACTTGTGTTCAAGTGTATGGATCTCTCTGAAATTGTACTGCAAGGTACCATACCACAAAGGGAAGGCTGGGATTGAGTTTGGGGGTGATGAATCATAATGGGGGTTCAAAAAATTTTGGGGGGGGATTTATTTTTTTTTCATTTTTTTTCTTTTCTTCCTTTTTTGTTTCTTTTAAAATTTTCCATTTTAAGTTGGTTATTTCTGATTTATATTTAAAATCAAATAATAATGATATGGTAGGAGATACACACCAAACAGGATGTGTAAATTATTATATAATAAGTATTGTGCAATAGCAAGAAATTTTCAATTGCACAGTATTGCACAATAGCAAGAAATCTTCAATTGCACAGTATTGCGCAATAGCAAGAAATCTTCAATTGCACAGTATTGCGCAATAGCAAGAAATATCCAATAGCACAATATTGCGCAATAGCAAGAAATTGTCAATTGTACAGTATTGCGCAATAGCAAGAAATATTTAATAGCACAGGATTGTGCAAAAGAAGATACTTCCTATAAATTGCTTATTTCTTGACCAATTTCAATGGGGTTTTATTCTTGATTTCATGGGGTTCTTTAATATGCTGAATCTAACCGTGTATTTAGTTTTTGGATTTTGGGCCCTGTTTTTAAATTGGTCCACATTGAGGTCCAAAGGGTCCAAAATTAAACTTTGTTTGATTTCATCAAAAATTGAATTATTGGGCTTCTTTGATATGCCGAATCTAACTGTGTATTTAGATTCTTAAATTTTGGTTCCGTTTTCAAATTGGTCTACATTAAGGTCCAAAGGGTCCAAAATTAAACTTAGTTTGATTTAAACAAAAATTGAATTCTTAGGGTTCTTTGATATGCTGAATCTAAACATGTATTTAGATTTTTGATTATGGGCCCAGTTTTCAAGTTGGTCCAAATCGGGGTCCAAAATAAAACTTTGTTTGATTTCAACAAAAATTGAATATATGGGGTTCTTTGATATGCTGAATCTAACCATGTATTTAGATTTTTGGGCCCCGTTATCAACTTTGTCCACATTGAGGTCAAAAGGGTCCAAAATTAAACTTTGTTTGATTTCATCAAAAATTGAATTCTTGGGGTTCTTTGATATGCTGAATCTAACCGTGTATTTAGATTCTTAATTTTTGGTTCCGTTTTCAAATTGGTCTACATTAAGGTCCAAAGGGTCCAAAATTAAACTTAGTTTGATTTTAACAAAAATTGAATTCTTAGGGTTCTTTGATATGCTGAATCTAAACATGTATTTAGATTTTTGATTATGGGCCCAGTTTTCAAGTTGGTCCAAATCGGGGTCCAAAATTAAACTTTGTTTGATTTCAACAAAAATTGAATATATGGGGTTCTTTGATATGCTGAATCTAACCATGTATTTAGATTTTTGATTTTTGGGCCCCGTTATTAACTTTGTCCACATTGAGGTCAAAAGGGTCCAAAATTAAACTTTGTTTGATTTCATCAAAAATTGAATTCTTGGGGTTCTTTGATATGCTGAATATAACCATGTATTTAGATTTTGGATATTGGACCCATAATAGGTGAATGTCCAATTTAAAATTTTTAAGTTCTTAGACCACATTCAATCTGTGTTAGAAACCTATGCTGTGTCAAATATTTAATCACAATCCAAATCCAAAGCTGTATCAAGCTTGAATGTTGTGTCCATACTTCCCCCAACTGTTCAGGGTTCGACCTCTGCGGTCGTATCAAGCTGCGCCCTGCGGAGCATTTTATTTGTTTGATAAAATGATATTTATATTTGGCAAGAGGGTAAAAATCAAAGAAATTTACATGCACAGTACTTGCAATTGTATCTGAAATTAAATTTAAGGCCAAGGTTGTACATGTATGATGCTCATTCATAATTTAGATATGAACTTGAAACTTTGTCTTTTTAGGTGTGGAGAAATGGGTCACTTTGCCAGAAACTGTTCTGGAGGAGGTGGTGGTGGTGACAGGAATGCTGATGTCAAGTGCTACAGATGTAACGAGTACGGCCACTTTGCTCGTGAATGTGATCAATAATCATGACAACACTTGAGAGGAGGTGTTTTGCGTCATGTGACCGTTCCTCCTGCAGCCCCAAGTTTAGTAAATGAAAACCGACTTGGGGATAAATTTTGTAAATGTAATATTTGGTAGTGGCATAGACCCAGGTGTATTGTGGATGGGTCTCTTAATTTTATTTTAACAATCTTCAAGTAGATTTGATTTTGTTGTTTTTCTCAAGGATTGAGTATTTGCATTATAATTAGAATGATCACTATTCAACATTAAGCTAGATATAACAGAATATTAAGTTCAAAATGAAGGAATTCAGAGAGTTGAGTGAAATTGAGAGTTTTTGGGAACAATATTACATGAAGCTTATAAAATTAAATATGTGCTGATGTGATCACACAAACAGTGTGTTCTTTGTAGCGATATTCTTTTTTTTTTTTTTTTCCTTGACGAATCAGCTGATGTGTTGTGTAGTTTTCATATTGTAAATAATTATTTTATATTGTGTAACTCCAAAGTTGTGTAGAGAGAAGGTTCCGAGAAGGAAACATCATTCCATATTAATCATCTTGCATTGCTGTTCCCATTGATTTGCTGGATATTCTGTGTTATAATTAGTGGAGATGTTGATTTCTGTCAATACGCAGATGATATTTCTGTCAATACGCAGATGATATGCAGGACTTTAAATTTGCATACACTGTACATGTACAAATTAGTACAAGTGGATTTTTTATATATCAAAAGTTGAAGTTGAAGGAGGGAGGTCAGATCATGTGTCATACGTAATTACATTAATTACAGAATGAAAATGAGTAAAAAATCACAAGCGGTTAAAGATTCTGTTGTATAAAAATTGTATATTTCAACATGTGGAAATTGGTTGGAATTTTAACAATGGCACCAGATTTTATTTTAGTTGTATAAAAGAAGCCAATGTTAATTTGTTATGGTGTCATTAAGATTTTTAAATAGTTGTCGAGTGTTAAGAGGTGTTCCAAGTGAAGGAACTTTGTGGAAGCCGTCCATGATTATTTCAGGTGGAAGTAAAAAGAGGTTCCAGGGTTAATATAACTTAATATATATACAAGGCAGCTTGGGTTCCCTTAAAAGCAGAAGGGACAAGTTTATAGTATTAGAGAGTTCTATTATTATCAGCATTTAAAAACTTGTTTTTATTAGAAAGGCATTAGTGAAATGTAGACATCTATATTTCATAGTACCTATAAATAGAACTTTGATGCTGAAGTGCAAAATGTTAAGGCTTGCCTGTACCAAGTACAGAATAGCATGTTTTGTTATTTTATCACTCTTTGTTATTGTGTTCAGCATTTTGCATTTTTAGTATCAATACATTTTGTTTATTGCTTTGTTTTTTCTTAAAGCAATATTGTTCGGATGATAAGTATCAAAAAAGAATTTTTAATGGATATATATATATTCAATACAATGTAGTTATGCCTATTATTTTTTTTTGTATTGTCTTGAACATTACAGTTCATTTAGGAAGGTTAAAGGAAACTTGATCCATGATATATTTTTTAAAGAAACAAAGTGCACTTTAAAAGTTAATATATGGATCTGCCTATGGAAAACTATGCATTGTCTTCCTGTTTAAGTTGAGGTGGTTATGAGGAGATGTCTCCTTTCAAAGGAGAAGAGTTGCATTTATGTACAATAACTTGATATTCATATCAGCTCATTTTTATTGTCATTCAATGATTCATTTTATAATTAATCGCCTTCATTGAGTTATTGTATATGATTTGCATTGAAAAGGACACACATAACATCATTTAGTAACACATTTGCACTTTAGATCAGAATTTTATGACCTGAATGTACGTGTTGGCTTGATTTTGCAAAGGGAAGTGCTATGTGTGTCCTTTCCAGACCTACTTAAAGGCAGCTTAATTAAATCATGTTGTCGCAGTGGAGTTCGTGAAGGAGTATTTTGTACATATATTTGTTAATTTTTTAGTGTCAATATCTGAACAAAGTATAAAATAAAATTTAACTGAAAGATTTTTTGATCGGTGTCACGTGAAGAATTGGGTGAAAAAAATTGAATGAAATTTAAAATGTGAAAAGGGTCATTTTAAAGAAAATGTGAAAGTTAACTTAATACAGTTAACTTAATACAAGAGAAAATGAATTGGATATTTAAAAATTGTGAACAATTGTAAAATTAAAATGCTTAACTGTGGATTTTAGAACAAATAAAGAAAAATGAGTTCAGGATTATTGTCTTTCTTGCCTTGGTGAGTTCAGGATTATTGTCTTTCTTGCCTTAGTGAGTTCAGGATTATTGTCTTTCTTGCCTTAGTGAGTTCAGGATTATTGTCTTTCTTGCCTTAGTGAGTTCAGGATTATTGCTTTGCCATAGTTTCATTTAACTGCTTTTGTAATTCCTGTGGTGCATATAGTTTGATGTCATCTGACTGTTAATATTCTAAAGTAAGAATCGGCTAGAATAAAACATATCTGGATTAAACGTTCACAGGACATCTAGATGAAATTCAATTTAAAAGAAAATAGAACAACATGAACATTGAATATAAGGTCTCTGCAATGTGCAAAAACAACATCGTCTACAATTTCTCAAACATCAATGCAGACTAAATTTATATTAATACTGAAATAGATAAAAGAAACAGTAATTGGAAATGCTCACTTGTGTTTAAGAATTAGTTTGACAAAGTTGGTCTGATTCTGTTTTAGGATGTATGATCTTCATTTAGCAGTAGTAAGAAGTATGAAAAGAAAAAAGTAAAGGTAGTCATATGGGGAAAATACATTGCGAATCTGCTCCAATCTCTTTTACAACAAAAAAAGGTCAATCTATGCATTGTTTGCTTGAAGAATTGTAAATCCGTTTATGAAAAAAATAGTTGTGGGGTAGATGTACAAGATGGCTTAAAAGAAGTTACTTCAGACTATTATTCACGCAGCTCATTTCATGGTCTAGTAGTAAGGTGTACAAGTCCAAATGGCAGGTTCATCTTACCTTGACCTCATTTTCATGGCTGATTGTTAAAATGATGAATTTTTGTGGTATGGTCTTCCACTGATACATTTCAGTGTGCACTCTTCGTTAATATATTAGGAACTACATTTCTTTTAAAGATGGTTGGTTGATGTTTCAACACTTGGTTATTTCATGGAGGAAGCTAGAGAACCACTGGCCTTCGTAAGAAAAACGAACAATCCTAGTCAATAAAACTTGGGAGCCAAACGCACCTGCTACGTGCGGGACCTGAACTCGAAACATCCGTGTTGACAGTGATGCAGTAGTTGGGACCACTCGGCCATGGAGGCCCCTTAAGTATAAAGATGTATATCGGTCATTCTACAGGATTCACTTGACTTACCTCGAGTCATTGTTCAGAGCCAATCGGCTATGTTTCTGTGATAATTTCCGTTTCTCAGATACTTCAATAGATCAACATAATTAGGCATATAGAAATACTGTTTGGCTTGCATGTCAATCAGACAGACTTCACCTGACCTATTTTCATGGTTCTGTGACCAACATTGAGCTTTTGTGATTGGAATTGTTTCTTGGATGCTATAAACTATATTGGGTGTATAGAATGATTGTTAGGTAAACATGTTAACAGAAATGGTTCCAACTTTAATCTCATTTCATAGTTCATTTGTCAACATTGTTGTCTCGCCTGAAAGTCGCTGTCGAAAGAGATAAAGGGATTGCTTTTCTGGCGTCAACAATGTTAAGTTTTCTGCTTAAGTTAGTTTCATGGGAACTACTTGTGATAGATCATTGATATTTAATATAAAGTTGCATTACTATCAGTACCGGTACATATCAGTTAATTAGCAATTTTCAATGTTAAGTTTTCTGCTCAAGTTAGTTTGATAGGATCTAGTACTTGTGATAGATCAATGATATTTTGTATGAAGTTTCATTACTATGATTACACATCAGTTTGACAACTATTTTGAGGCCCTACCCCTAGGACATGGTCAAGTGATTTGAATTAGTTGGCAATTTTCAATGTCCAGTTTTTATATGACCGCAAAAATTAAAAATTTTTTGGTCGTATATTGGTATGACGTTGTCGTCGTCGGCGTCGTCCGAAGACACATTGGTTTTCGCACTCTAACTTTAGTTTAAGTGAATGGATCTCCATGAAATTTTACCATAAGGTTCAATACCACGAAAGGAAGGTTGGGATTGATTTTGGGGGTTATGGTACCAACAGTTAAGGAATTAGGGGCCAAAAATAAGCATTTTTGTAACTTCCAGACAATAACTTGTGTGTAAGTGTATGGATCTCTCTGACATTGTACCACAAGGTTCCATATCACAAAGGGAAGGCTGTAATTGATTTTGGGGGTAATTGCCTCAAAATTTTAGGAATTGGGGGCCAAAAAAGCCGCAAAAAACAAGCATTTTTCTAGTTTCATGACAATAACATTTGTGTAAGTGTTTGGATATTTCTGAAATTGTACTACAAGGTTCCATATCACAAAGGGAAAGCTGGTATTGAGTTTGGGGGTAATTGCCCGAAACGTTTAGGAATTGGGGGCCAAAAAGGGGCCAAAAATAAGCATTTTTCTAGTTTCCAGCCAATAACTTGTGTTCAAGTGTATGGATCTCTCTGAAATTGTACTGCAAGGTACCATACCACAAAGGGAAGGCTGGGATTGAGTTTGGGGGTGATGAATCATAAGGGGGTTCAAAAAATTTGGGGGGGGGGGGATTTTTTTTTTTTCTTTTTTTTTCTTTTTTTCCTTTTTTTTTTCTTTTAAAATTTTCCATTTTAAGTTGGTTATTTCTGATTTATATTTAAAAGCAAATAATAATGATATGGTAGGAGATACACACCAAACAGGATGTGTAAATTATTATATAATAAGTATTGTGCAATAGCAAGAAATTTTCAATTGCACAGTATTGCACAATAGCAAGAAATCTTCAATTGCACAGTATTGCCCAATAGCAAGAAATCTTCAATTGCACAGTATTGTGCAATAGCAAGAAATATCCAATAGCACAATATTGCACAATAGCAAGAAATTGTCAATTGTACAGTATTGCGCAATAGCAAGAAGTATTCAATTGCACAGTATTGTGCAAAAGAAGATACTTCGTATAAATTGCTTATTTCTTGATCAATTTCAATGGGGTTTTATTCTTGAATTCTTGGGGTTCTTTAATATGCTGAATCTAACGGTGTATTAAGTTTTTGGATTTTGGGCCCCGTTTTTAAATTGGTCCACATTGAGGTCCAAAGGGTCTAAAATTTAAGATTTCATCAAAAATTGAATTATTGGGGTTCTTTGATATGCCGAATCTAACCGTGATTTAGATTCTTAATTTTTGGTTCCGTTTTCAAATTGGTCTACATTAAGGTCCAAAGGGTCCAAAATTAAACTTAGTTTGATTTTAACAAAAATTAAATTTTTAGGGTTCTTTGATATGCTGAATCTAAACATGTATTTAGAAATTTGATTATGGGCCCAGTTTTCAAGTTGGTCCAAGTTGGGGTCCAAAATTAAACTTTGTTTGATTTCAACAAAAATTGAATATATGGGGTTCTTTGATATGCTGAATCTAACCATGTATTTTGATTTTTGGGCCCTGTTATCAATTTGGTCCACATTGAGGTCAAAAGGGTCCAAAATTAAACTTTGTTTGATTTCATCAAAAATTGAATTCTTTGGATTCTTTGATATGCTGAATCTAACCATGTATTTAGATTTTGGATATTGGACCATAATAGGTGAATGTCCAATTTAAAATTTTTAAGTTCTTAGACCACATTCATTCTGTGTCAGAAACCTATGCTGTGTCAAATATTTAATCACAATCCAAATTCAGAGCTGTATCAAGCTTGAATGTTGTGTCCATACTTGCCCCAACTGTTCAGGGTTCGACCTCTGCGGTCGTATCAAGCTGCGCCCTGCGGAGCATTTTATTCAGCTTAAATCAGTTTGATAAGAACTACTTGTGATAGATCAATGATATTTTGTATAAAGTTACATTAATATCAGTACATATCAGTTTGACGATTATTTTGAGGCCCTGCCCCCTAGGAGATGGTCCAGTGACTTTAAATTTATTAGCAATTTTCAATGTTAAGTTTTTCAGCTCAAGTTATATTGATAGGAACTACTTACAATAAACAACGATATTTTCAAAAAGTTACATTACTGTCTGTACATATCAGTTTGTTGACCATTTTCAGGCCCTGCCCACTAGATCATGGTCCAGTGACTGAACTAATAAGCAATGTTGCTGTCCATCAGATTGTCTTTTTCTGAATTTTATGCACTCATATCTTCAAGACATATCTCTGTGTCAGCAGTTTATTTTTATGATAAGGTTCTGTTTCTCAGATACTGCAAGTAATAGGTAAACTATGCTGGGTGTATTGAGTGATTATAAGATGTGCATGTCTTTCTGTCGTGGTTCGCCTGACCTTCACTTCATTTTCATAGTTCATTGGTCAATTTAAGTTTCCATGATAAGGTCTGTTTCTCAGGTAATATAATTAATAAGTCCAGTTCATTGGGTATGACCGGGTTTGCATGACTTTGACCTCGTTTCCATGCTTCTTGAGTTAACGTTAAGTTTTTATACGTCCGTTTACGGGACGTATTATGGAATACTGTTGTCCGTCGTCAACATGTCGGACAATAACTCAAAAACAGTTAACCGATTTGCATGAAACTTTAGAGAATTGTTTTTATCTATTGACGTAAGCTCCATTTCCATTTCTATAAATTTTAGATTTTACATTTCCAAGTTGTGGGGTTTAATTTGTTAAAAAAAGGGGGAATTTCCAGTTTTCAGACAATAACTCAAAAATGTTTTGAACAGTTTTCATGAAACTTTTGTGAATTGTTTATATCTATTGACATAAGCTCCCTTTCGATTTTTATAAATTTTAGATTTTATGTTTTCGAGTTGTGGGATTTTATTCATAATAAAGGGGGAATTTTCCAGTTTTCAGACAATAACTCTAAAGTGCTTTGAGCAGTTTTCATGATACTTTGGTGACTGGTTTATCTCTATTGAAATAATCTCCCTTACTGATGTTTTTTGTAAATTTCTGATATGACATTGAGAAGTTGTGGAATTCGAACTTTATTTGTTGAAAAAACAACGGGCGTATCATGCGTTCATGGCGCAGCTCTTTATTATAACTACGTCTGTTTCAAAGATATTATCAGTAATAGGTCAACTATATTGTAGTAAGAGATTGCTCTGGT